CCCCAAAACCCCAAAACCCCAAAACCCCAAAACCCCAAAACCCCACCACTTGATGTAGCGATTGAGAATTAGGTCTAAAACTCACAAATCAATATGGAGTTTCCATAGCTTAAAGCAGAATAGAATTATGAAAGCATTGTATTAGGTAAACGATCTAGTTAGAAGCTGTTTCGAAAGCTGCCATGTCCACAGCCTTGTAAGCAATGAAGTAGTCCACCATCTCCTCTACTTCTTGAGCAGAGTAGCTGAAGTTCAGGCAGGCTTTCTGGCCCTGCATTGCCATTGCGTACAGGTCGTAGGTCCTGGCAGCTTCGAGTTCATCGGTGAAAGTTCCGATATATTTCTTAGTGTTTCTTTGGTTGATGAGGGCTTGCCAGTTGGCGTTGTTTTTGGACACTCCAATGTACTGAGACCTCCTTCCTAAGTTTGTGTCAGTAGTTCCTCTGGTCTTCTTTCTGGAGCTCTGAAACCCAGTGACCCGCCCATTCTGGATCTTTGTTCTGAGTCTGATGAGCCTGGCTCTGATGTCGAGTCTTGAAGAACGCCTTCTGCGGTTGCTGAAGATTCTTGTGGCAGCAGGGACTTTGCTTTCTTCTTCTGCATTCTCGCTTATCCGAGAGTGGTCTTTGTTCTGAGTTACAGTCTTATCTACTCAGTTCAGGCTCTCCTTATCTTGCTGAATATCGGTGATCACTTTTTCAGCTTGCTTCTGTTCACAGATGGGAGAATCAGTTTGAGGTCTACACAAATATCAAGGTTAGGCTTTAGTTTTAAGAGAGAAATCATTCATGACAATACTTACTTGTTTTCAGTGTTGGCCTCGTTATCATCCTCAACAGCATGAGCTGAGCAAGATCACAGGTTTTGACAAGTACAATAGGCTTGCAAGTATGGGACCATCTCTGCCATAGACGGACAGCAACAATAGAGAGTGGCGCATTCTTTAATAATTTGTGAGTATCCCCACACTGGTTTGAAAGCATGAGTTTTCCAACTTTTATTATGGTATAAATCCATGTTAAATTTTTTTAATTAAATCTTTTATCTTTGGACTTAAATATTTAACAGAAGGTCATTCGACAGTGGTAATGTATGAACTCATAATTTCGAACTCGTCCACGAGTATTTCAATCTCTGTTAGTGATTTAAGAAAAACTTTTAGTCATAGTTTACTTGCTCAGAATTATATCTAGAGCAAAATAGATGCTTCAAATAATATTACATTTTCATAGAAGCATGCTCCCGGACATCTGTTAAAGTCATGAATTATCTAACTTTCTAAAGATGGATAGTATGGGAGTTTAAAAATATGGTGACTCCTAATGACCTCAAAAGACAGTTTGAGACAGAGGCTCAGGCTGTGAAGCTCAGCCTGAAATAGCAAAGTTGATAATTTACCACTCTGTAAGACAGTTATGGAAGATTCCATTCAGCATACATTTGTTACTAGGAGAACATCATCAGCAGCGAAGAGTCTATGACTGTGATTGTCCAAGATGATAAATTTCACTATTTTTGTGAGGGATTTCTTTGTCTCTGGCAATACCAGTCGCTAAGTTTGAACGAAATTTTTAAACATAGTTAGAAATTTGATAAGAATGATATACCATAAAAGAGGTTTAGACATTTACGACTCGTTTCATAATATTATTAAAAACAAATGGGAGACTCCTTAATGGAAATTTGAATAGACTCTATATGCTTTGAAGGAGACTAAGAATTCAGATTATCCCAAATTTGAGAGTCAATAGACTATCGAAATAAATTGCTGGCATCTTATTCCAATACTATTAAAGTTTTGAATTTACCTTCATGAATTCTGCTAAAAACTTTTATTGGCAATGTGTTGAAAGACAACGATATACTCACCGAAATCGCTAAGGAATAATACTTGAAACCACTCTTCTTGCTGATATTATACCTGAGGAAGGTCAGATTAGCCATTAGAAGAAGTTTATGCTATAGATGCTTTTGTAGCCTCACCAACATCTGTATAATAATTGAGGTTTTATAATCGTAGATACTATGCTAAGCAAACATGCATGCTTGAATGGCAGCCATCTTTGCTTCTATTGAGTTTATACGATTTTTAACCCCATTCGTAATTAGTGACTAGCAAGCACTCTTTTGAAGCTGAGACAACATCGGCAACTATTTATAATGATAGGCTAAGGAGAGTCGCAAGCGAAAACACCTGCATAGATTCTCACATTGACTCGACGTATTTAAAGCGCATCTGAGTTGCTAGTAAACCACAATAGGGATAATCTCTCTCCACCACTATTCCCCAACCCCTCTCCCAACCCTTCCCACTCCCTTCCCACTCCCACCCCCTTCCAAGCCCACTCCTCTTCTAAACCTCCCTAACCCTTCTTCTTTCACCCCTTTCTGTTCCTTCCTGTTCTTCTTTAAGGGCTATTTTCTTCCTGTAGGATACCCTCCATTTTATTTTCAGCGTGCGACTTTGATATGGGGTTTTGGGGTTTTGGGGTTTTGGGG